CGATGATATTCGGCCACCTTGTCATGTTAAGTATAGGCCATTCCGGATCGATGATACCCGTCCACCATGTCATGTTAAGTATAGCCCTCTCCAGACCGATGATACTTGTCCATCATGTCATGTTTTGTATCGTCCACCATGTAATGTTAAGTATAAGCCTCTCCAGACCGATGATTCTCGTCCACCATGTCATGTTTAGTATCGTCCAACATGTTATGATAAGTATCGCCCACCATGTCATGTTAGTCATCGACCACTATTTCATATTTAGTATTGTCCACCATGTCATATTTAGTATCGTCCACCATTTCATGTTAAGCATCATCCACCATTTCATGATTAGTATAAGCCTCTCCAGACCGATGATACTCGTCCACCATGTCATGTTTAGTATAGACCGGTCCAGATCGATGGTATTCGGCCACCTTGTCATGTACAGTATAAGCCTCTCCAGACCGATGATACTTGTCCACCATGTCATGTTTAATGTAAGCCTCCCAGACCGATGATATTCGTCCACCATGTCATGTTTATTATAGGCCACTCCAGACCGTTGATATTCGTCCACCATGTCATGTTTAATATAGGCCATCCAGACAGACGATATTCGGCCACTTTTTCATGTTTAGTATAGGCCACTCCAGACCGATGATACCCGTCCACCTTGTCATGTTTAGTATAGGCCATTCCAGACCGATGTTACCCGTCCACCATGTCTTGTTTAGTGTAACCCTCTCCAGACCGATGATGCTTGTCCATTATGTCATGTTTAGTATCATCCACCATGTAATGTTAAGACAAAGCCTCTCCAGACCGATGATTCTCGTCCACCATGTCATGTTTAGTATCGTCCATCATGTCATGATAAGTATCGCCCACCATGTTATGTTAAGTATCGTTCACCATTTCATGCTTAGTACTGTCCACCATGTCATGTTGAGTATAAGCCACTCTAGACCAATGACACTCGTCCACCATATCATGTTTAGTGAAAGCCACCCAGATCGATGATATTCGTCTACTATGTCATGTTGAGTATAAGCCTCTACAGACCGATGATATTCGTCCACAATGCCATGTTTAGTGTAAGTCTCTCCAGACCAATGATACTTGTCCACCATTGCATGTTAAGTATCGTCCACAGTGTTATATTTAGTATAAGCCTCTCCAGACCGATGATACTCGTCCACCTTGTTATGTTTAGTATAGACTCTCCAGACCGATGATACTCGTCCTCTTTGTCATATTTAGTGTGAGCCTCTCAAGACCGATGATACTTGTCCACTTTTTCATGTTTAATGTAAGCCTCTCCAGACCGATGATATTCGCCCAACATGTCATGTTTAGTATAGGTCACTCCAGATCGATGATATTCGGCCACCTGGTCATGTGCAGTATAAGCCTCTCCAGACCGATGATACTCGTCAACCTTGTTATGTTAAGTATAGGCCACTCCAGAGCGATATTCGGCCACTTTTTCATGTTTAGTATGGGATACTCCAGAGCGATGATACCCGTCCACCATGCCATGTATAGTATCGTCCACCATGTAACGTTAAGTGTAAGCCTCTCTAGACCGAGGATTCTCGTCCACCATGTCATGTTAAGTATCGTTGACCATGTCATGTTAATTATCGCCCACCATGTCATGTTAAGTATCGTCCACACCATATCATGTTTAGTGTCGTCCACACCATATCATGTTTAGTATCGTCCACACCATATCATGTTTAGTGTAAGTCTATCCAGACCGATGATACCTGTCCACCATTGCATGTTAAGTATCGTCCACCGTGTCATGTTTAGTATAAACCTCCCCAGACCGATGATACTCGTCCACCATATCATGTTTAGTATAAGCCTCCCAGACCGATGATACTCGTCGACCATGTCATGTTTAGTATAAGCCTCTTCAGACCGATGATACATGTACTTGTCCACCATGTCATGTTAAGTATAAGCCTTTCCAGACCTTGTCCTGTGACACCTAATTGTTCTTCAGGAATTTCGGATCTTCCCGTACAACGTTTAATTTGTCCAATGGAGAGCCTAGCGATAACTTATCAGTTCAAACAGTGTCAGTATAGTGCATTTACTTTGCTTCTGATTTGGATTCTTCCTAACAATATCTCCAAAAGCTCTTTAAATTATTATTTATTTTCTCAGACCACCATCCTCACAACGTCAGGGGTCCTGTGTCAACTCGTTGCCGTGGAACCTCCAGTTTTTTTTTTTCTGGACACTCTTTGTCGTTTACAACTTCTGCTCTCCAGAGCGGGAGTATCAAACCTGTTAAGTGCTTTCCTAACATTGTCTAAATGATAAAAATACCTCTTCAGTAACTTTACCAGTTGTCCCACCTTTTATTTCACTGACGTTTTACAATACTTAAGAGTCCTTTTTAATTCGTATGGGAGCAAATATCTTAAAAATTTGATTCATGGGAACATAATTCACAGGCGAACATCCCTTTACCAAAGACATGATTCAGTAATCGTAGAGGTTGCAAATTGGCCGATAAGGGGTGCACACGAAATCCATGAAAATCGACCACCGACGAGATGTATTCCCAAATCTTACAAATTGTTCGAACAGTAATTGTGATCATGTTTTAAAATATCTATTTTGAGAGCTTCGTATTTTTCTGTCTTTATATGGCGAATCCACAAACTGGATCTTAACTATTTATGTATCTGTCTTTCATACTTGAGGCTCCGATTCAGCGACGTGAGCAAGGTGATCCATACATTTAGATATTTGTTCTTGCATATTTTGTGTGTTTTTATTTATCTTAATCATAATTCATGGAAGACCTTTCTTTCCAAAATTTCCCATTGAGGAGACAGGTGTTAAGAATAGAGAAACATTGGTAACATATACTCAGTATCTGTCCAATGACGTGTAGTCTAGCGTTCGCAAGATGGTGTAGACGGATCTCATTCTCCGGACTTGAAATGATAAGCTTTGAAGACTGTTGTATTTTCAAGTTATGAATTACTAGTTGCTTTAACAATTAAAAAAATGTCTGTTTACTTTGCATTCTATTAAAGTGTGTCGCTCGAAGTTTCTTAGTTACGGTGACCTCAAGCCTATTTCCAAAAAATGATACGAAATTTTGATACTATTTTGGCAATTAACTAAGAACTATGGATTGCACACTTTTGTACTTCAGCATATTACTCATGTGTGGAGCCAGTCATAGATGAAAGGTTTCTGTTGGTACTCATCCATAACGCCATGTTTAGTATCATTCTCTCCAGACCTTGTCCTGTGTAACATTATTGCTCTCTTCAAGTTGTTTTCCGGATCTTCCTCAACAATATTTACAATGTATATACATGTATATCTGCATGTTCTGAAATTTTACAACCTATGCTCTCAAGAAGAGGTGTTGCATTAGTCTGTTAAGAACTTCACTTGGAATTGTCCTAGCATTGTTCTTTTAACCGTCAAAAATGAATAAACTGCCTTCACGGGTAAATGTCCCTTCTTCTATTCCACTGGTAATAACAATGCTGCGAAATCGTTTTCATTTGATAGGATGCCGAAAATTCAATTCGTGGGAATATAATTCTGTGGGCGAACATATCATTAGCTCACCTGAGCTGAAAGCTCAGGTGAGCTTTTCTGATCACCCGTTGTCCGTCGTCCGTCCGTCCGTCTGTAAACTTTTCACATTTTCAACTTCTTCTCAAGAACCACTAAGCCAATTTTAACCAAACTTGGTACAAAGTATCCTTGGGTTGAGGGGAGTACAAATTGTTAAAATAAAGGGCCAAGTCCTCTTACAAGGGGAGATAATCAAGAAAAGACAAAAATAAGGTGGGGTCATTAAAAAATCTTCTTCTCAAGAACCACTTGGCCAGAAATACTGAAACTTATGTGGAAGCATCCTGGGATAGTGTAGATTCTAAATTGTTCAAATCATGACCCCCTGGGGTAGGGCGGGGCCACAATATGGAATCCAAATTTTACATTGAAATATATAGCAAAAATCTTAAAAATTTTCCTCTCAAGAACCACTGGGCCAGAAATACTTAAACTTATATGGAAACATCCTGGGGTAGTGTAGATTCTAAATTGTTCAAATCATGACCCTCGGGAGTAGGGCGGGGCCACAATAGGGAATCCAAGTTTTACATTGAAATACATAAGAAAAAGCTTTACAAATCTTCTTCTCAAGAACCACTGGGCCAGAAAAGCTGAAACTTATATGGAAGCATCCTGGGGTAGTGTAGATTCTAAATTGTTCAAATCATGACCCCCGGGGGGTAGGGCGGGGCCACAATAGGGAATCCAAGTTTAACATTGAAATATATAGGAAAAATCTTTTAAAATCTTCTTCTCAAGAACCACTGGGCCAGAAAAGCTAAACTTAAGTGGAAGCATCCATTGTTCAAATCATGACCCCCGGGGGTAGGGCGGAGCCACAATAGGGAATCCAAGTTTTACAATGAAATATATAAGAAAAATCTTTAAAAGTCTTCTTTTCAAGAACCACTGGACCAATAAAGCTGAAACTTATTTGGATGCATCCTGAGGTAGTGTAGATTCTAAATTGTTCAAATCAGGACCCCCGGGGGTAGGGCGGGGCCACAATAGGTATATTAAAAGGGGGGAAATCTGGTAAAGAACAGCATGGCCAAAGCTACTCAGGTGAGCGATGTGGCCCATGGGCCTCTTGTTAATAATTGCTGAGGTTGCAAATTCGTAAGGTTAACACTAAAGCTACAAAATCTGAAAACCCACGAGATATAATGATCGAGTGCAGTTGAAGTCTTGGGACAACGCTATTATTTTTAACGCCCATGCCACACTCAGATGTCAGTAAATAATCATGGTAATGGAATTTGGTACAAACTATGCCTAGAAGTAAAAGGAATGGATGTGCTTGCAAGCAAACTTATATTTTTTTTCCTGTTATGACGATTTTTGCTGTATCTCTTACAGCGATGGCCACAAATGATGTAAACACAAAGAAAACAAAGTTAAGTCAAAGAAAATGATGTAATACTTTATTAATAACTTTTCATTGGCTGTTTATAACAATGTTTACTATATGCGAAGTTTAAAGGTGTTAATAAGAACCCCCCCCCCCCCTAAGAAATCAACTGCCTCGAAAACAATACATATATTAACGTTATTACAATCTCATTACATCATCCTATTGCCAGCAATACAAATGTAAGCTAAATATAGTTAAGGTCAAATTACTGAAGACGCCATCAATCATACATATTTGATTCTGATTACAACACAAAGAATGTAATTGAAATTTTGATAATACATTGTATTATCAGTTATTCATAGTTTATGGCACTGTTTCCTTATACAGGCGCCTTGGCATGACGCCCTCCATCCACAAATATAAGTTCTCCCGTGACCGAGGATGACTGGTCCGAGGCTAGAAACAGGATCACCTTGGCAACCTCTTCTGGTTCTATGGCTGCTGTCAGTGGCTGTAATTCCTTCTGCTTTTCTAAATACTAAATGGATTTTAATTTCATTAAATAAAAGCATTAATTTATGGTAAAGGTTTTTTCTACTAAAATCTTAAAATCTTTGATTTGCTTTATTGTTCACTTATTTAAAAAGTTATCTGGTTTCTAGTTTAATATTAAATCAAATGGAGTGTTGCTAAGGCAATTAAATTTAATTCCTAGTTTAGCAGACTGTAGGTGTTTGACTGACAGATTGAAATTCTCTCTAGTAAAGATCAACAGGTATTAAATCATTTGTATTGAGACTGGACGGGAACTTATCTAGATGGTAGATTGAAACTTTTGTCTACAAAAGTTTTTTTTAAATATATTTGATTAGAAATGCAGTGAAATTCCTTGCCCGGCAAATGGGGAGAAACCCTTTCTCGAGATACAAGCCAGAAACTGGTCTTTAAAATATTCAGTTGGAACTTCTTTTCCCAAAAAACGCTTTTCGAAAGTTTTAATCAGCAAATCAGTGTCATGTTGTCAAACAGACTATAATATTTTTATCAAACAAATCACCTTGTCCAGTTAAAAGAGGTAAAATTTTAAGTTCGTTGAAAGCGGAATGGAAAATCAGGAAAAAGGACCATATCAATACAAAAAACTTTGTCTTGTACACCAAACCAAAAGCTATGTCATATACAGAAGACACGCAATCACTTATAAATTTATTAATACCCCCAGTCATTGCGTGGTTTACCCTACATTAACACATTTTCATATGTCACAAACTCACTGTATCACAACAACTGCAGACTATGGTATATTATTCAAAGTGAAATTCAAAGGCCATAATATCAGTACGAATTTCACAATTTAGTTCGAGATTCATTTCTCTGTGGTTGATAGGTTTTAAAGAAAGATGGGTCAATTTAAATTCACTTAATTGACCCAACATGCGAAATATCATCTTCTGACCTTATTGTAAGCTTCCTCTGTCATTCCTGCTCGCCTCTGAAATTCCGTTATTACAACTCCAGGACTGAAATAGAACAAATAACATTGAATTTGTAGTTTGCAAGAAACATAAAAAAATAAAAATATATAATTCATATGAACTTTTCCAACAGATCACTGCAAAATTCAAACCCAAAATCGATTTCATTTTCTCCGTTTTTAAACTTACTTGACGGAATTGACCCGAACCTTTTCCTTGGCCAAATCTGTAAAATAGGGGGTATTTTGTGATGGAAATAAAGCGAACGGATGAAACTGGTAATAGGAGAAAAAGCTAGCAAAATTAACTGACCAATAGCCAGAGTCCTGGTAAAGTGGTCCAAAGCTGCTTTACTCATACAGTATGACATTGCCAGCGGAAACTAAAGGGAAAAGGACATTTAATGTGGTTCCAAATAGTTCAGAATTTATAACATACAATAGTACAAATGCTTAATAAGATGTTGAACATTATTTCTATTTTGGTATACAAAAAGATTCAAATTGTTAACTTACTGATCTTTGTCCAGAAATACTGGAAACATTCACAACACACCCTGTGAAGTTAATATACATTTAATACCATTTCATCTTTTACCAAAATAAATAATTAATAAAATGTTCTTCCAAAAGAATGTCAGCATTATTTTAGCACCTTGTGTAGTCTTCAAGTGTGGGATGCACAATTGTGTCAGTAAGAACGGTGCCCGAACATTGATGTTGAAGATATCATCGAACACTTCCGTCGACGTCTCGAGAAAAGGGACGTACTTACCACTGCCAGCATTATTGACCTGCAATTTTAATTGATTATAGTAAGGCATTTTCTTAAAGCATTTGAGAATTTATATAAAAAATTATTTTAAAAGTAATTCGGTTAATTCCTTATTACACTGATAAAAAGATGCATTTCAAACCCTGAATGTAGGCACTCTCTGATTTAATTTTTTCCCATTCAATGCAGCCTAGACTTTTTCCAAGTGAAATCTCAATTTGTCCAATTGTCCTTGGTACGGTCAAAAACAATAAAAGGGCATCATTAATGGTTATGCATATTTTACTAATTCCTGCATTAAGTTATGACGTTGATAGGAATTTTACACTTCTTAACCGTGACCTCGACCTTGTCTCTATCACTATGGGTCATATCCCACCCACAGGTCAAAGACAATTTCTGAGTCGAGGAATCTCTCACGTTTTTGTAAGCGTTATGGCACAGACAGAAAATTGACGCTTCAAAGCCCTGAGACCTGTGTATGTTTCTATATTGTTTAAGTCAGATAACATATTTTGCACTGTCTAAAATGTATAAAGTAGCACCATCGAAAAATAAGTCAATATTTGAATTTCAACAAAAAATGGGAGATCATTAATGTAAAATAAACAGAAAAGTGAACCTAGAATTGATCCCTGTGGCACTCCCACTGTGACTAACTGTTCAGGTTTTATGTTACCAAGGTGGATACTGAATTAAATCTACAGTTTAAATATAAGTAAAACCATTGCAAAGCTTTGGAGCAATGTAATTTTTTAATCACTGTTAATCACTGTTGTATTCAGGACATGCACCGCGGAGGGAGCCCCCCACCCCACCCACCGTACGCCTGAGGCTGTCCCTTGAGGTACAACGCGCTCTTCTCGGAAGGGAACCTGTGAACTTCCGGATAATAACAGCCAAGTTCAACACCAAGAAAAGCAAGTAAAATTGAACATCATCCATATATGCCCCCACCAATGACGCTGATGATGAAAAGAATGGCCCCCTTTACCAGCAACTACAGGCAATCTTGGATAAAGGAGGGAAGAGAGATATGACATTACTTCAATGCAAAGATCGGAGCTTATAACACTACCTACACTGAAGTCATGGGTACACAAGGACTGAGCTATATGATGAATATGCTCCCTTAACCAGCTTTAATAGGAGAAAGCATCTTCTCTAATACTGTAAACGGATCGGATTCACAAGGCCACAAGAGATCCCCTGACCATGTTACAGAGAATCAGATCGGACATGTTTGCATCAACAAGAAATTTCGAAGAGCATGAAAAGACGTCAGGGTGATGAGACGACATTTCATCAGACCACCATCTTCTGATAATGGCAGTAAGACTACGCCTCAAGAAGTTTAACAACATGACAAACATGATGACAAGGTACAACGTGAGTGTCCTTAAAACAAAGGAAGTGGGGACAGCATTCTACTTTAGCCAGTCCAACAGATTCTAGCTGCTACAAGACCAGCTAGAAAAAATGATAACAACATCGATACTCAATGGCAGCACATCAAGAAAATGTGGTGAGACACAAATCCTTACAAACAAAGATACATAGCGGGTTCCAGTAAATGCTCTACCAAGCCTCTTTCTTTACTCCTCACTAAAATATTTACTGTAATGAAGGAGAAACTTCAAGAGTACTGTACAACAGTATATTCGAGAAGTGGTGTAAATCAGATGAGGATATTTAAAAGTCCCAAAGAACTTTTGAAAATTTGAAATCACAAAATTTTACAAAAATCAATAGCATCAAAACGTACGACTATTCAACACTGTATGCAACCAATTCCCCACGATAAATTGAAATCCAAGCTTTTTGACATCATAGACAGCTGCTTTTTCAACAAAAATGGAACTCGTAAATATACTTACCTTGTCATTGATCATTTGCAAAATTATTTTGTTAAAAAGCACTATGGTTGTACACACAAGTACTCTGAAGTTGATATTAAAAAGATGCTTGAGTTTCTGATTGACAATATCTATGTAGTTTTTGAAGCTCAGGTCTTCCATCAATCTGTGGGAATTCCCATGGGTACCAATTGCGCCCTCTTATTAGCAGACCTATTTTTGCATTCATATGAAGCAGAATTTATTCAGAAACTTCTACTACATGAGAAGAAGAAAACACTTGCTGTGGCCTTCAACTAGACATTTAGATATATCGACGACGTATTATCAATTAACAACAGTTACTTTCATTCATATGTCGACTCGGTATATCCCAGTGAGCTTGAAATAAAAGATACCACAGATTCTGACACTTCTGTTTCATATATAGATATTTTACTAGAAAAAGACGTTAATGGTAACCTAGCAACAAGGCTTTATGATAAACGTGATGACTTCAACTTTTCAATCGTCAACTTCCCTTACTAATGTAGCAATATACCTTTATCACCTGCATATGGGGTTTATGTCTCTCAGTTGCTTCGGTACGCAAGAGCATGTTCTACGTATGGACAATTTTCTAAAATGAGACAAGCTATTGACAAACAAGTTGATGAAACAAGGATATCAACAGTCTCATTTGAAGTCATAATTTCGCAAGTTTTACGGTCGGGACAATGATCTTGTCAGCATATACAACCTATCATTGAGTCAAATGTTGACTGACGTTTTCCGGGGTTTTCTTACTCCTCCATGATGGCACCTGATCCCACTTCTAAATTTTGAGGTCTGTTCTGCAGAAGAAAGGCTCAACACAAAGAGTTGATCTCTGTTGATACCATGAGGAAAGTGGATGTAAGGAAGAAAGAAAGCGGCACTGAATACAAGCCGCACAAGAGTAGCAAAGGCAAAAGTTCAAGAGGACTACATGGCCACAGATAAAGAAGTTAAGAAAAGCATCAAGAAAGATACACAGGATCACATTGACAATCTGGCCAAACAATATGTGGTCGCAAAGAAGCTCTTCAACAAGCAGACAGACAAGCCAGTGAAGGACAAGAACGGGAACCCTCTCACAACAACAGAAAAGCAATTGAAGAGGCGGGTAGATTACTTTGGAGAGCTACTAAATAGACCAAAACAAGAAACACCACCCTCCAGACATACAACCAGCCGATACAAACCTCCCGATCGACTGCGACAAGCCAACAAAGACAGAGATCAGGAGAGTAATTACCACACTTAAGAATTGAAAAGCGGCGGGGCCTGACGAAATATCAGCAGAAGCCACCAAATCTGATACAGAGACAGCTGTTAACATCTTGCACAAACTCTTCAAGAAGGAGAATAATCCGGAGGAATGGAAAGAAGGCATCCTCATTAAGCTGCCTAAGAAGGGAGATCTGAGGGACTGCAGTAACTACCGGGGGATTATGCTCCTGACAGTGCCTGGCAAGGTCCTCAACAGTATCCTTCTCGAGAGGAGGAAACAGGTTGTGGACCCAAAGCTTCGTGACCAGCAGGCTTCTTTTAGACGCAACATATCATGTGCTGACCAGATAGACAGCCTGCGCATTATCACTGAACAATCACTAGAGTGAGATTTCCCCCTTTTTTTCAACTTCATTGAGCCATGACATGCTGGGTTGCTCACGCTGGCCAGATGGCCGAGAGTTTTGAGGTCAAGACAGGAGTTCGTTGAGGATGTTTTCTGACACCAATCCTCTTCCTTTTGGTTACTGACTGGATTATGAGGAGTGCCACATAAGGCAGGAACAATGGTACACAGTGGACACTCCTGACGCAACTCGACGATCTCGACTTTGCCGATGACCTAGCTCTCCTTTCGCACAATCACAGTCAGATGCAGGACAAAACAACTCACCTTGCAACAACATCAGCAAGAACGGGACTCAAGATCAGCTTGAAGAAAACAGAATTGATGAAGATCAACAGCACTGTCCAAATACCAGTCACAGTTGATTTTGAGCCCATCAAAGAAGTTGAGTCCTTCATCTATCTGGGGAGTGTAGTGGACAAACAGGGTGGCACAGACCGTATCATCAAGTCAAGAATCGGCAAGGTAAGAGCTGCATTAACCACGCTAAAGAACATCTGGGGATCAAAGAACATCCGCATTACTACCAAATTTCGGATCCTAAAATGTTGATTCCGTCTTACTGTATGGAGCAACGACGTACAGAATGACCCTGCAGAAGATCAAGACATTTTACAACACCTATCTCAGGCGCATCTTCAACATCCGTTGGCCTGAAAGGATCATAAATGAAGAACTATGGAAGAGAGCAGGGCAGGAACCATTGGACGTACAAATCAGATAGAGGAAGTGGTGCTGGATTGGACTCACCCTAAAAAAGCCACCATCCAGCACCACACGCCAGGCCCTGACCTGGAATCCGCAGGGCAAGAGAAAGAGAGAAACCACTTGGAGGCGTGAGTGAGAGGCAGAATTAACAGAATTAATGACATGGCACGACGCAGCAAAAGCAGCCCATAATCGATTTTGTTGGAGCACTGTCGTTGATGACCTAAGTTCCCCATGAAACGACAGGCCTGGCCTAAGTAAGTAAGTATTTTTTAATCAGAATATCATGATTCACTACCTGAAAGTTCTTACTAAAATCGAGTAAGGTGAAACAGACAAATTTATTATTATCCATAGCTTGTATCCATGAATTCATCAGTTAGTTTAGTAAGAACAAGTTGGGACGAAAGTAATTTTCTGAATCCCGATTGTGATTTGCATAAAAGTTGACCAAAAAAACTATGGATATGATTAGCTACAGGTTTTTTTTTCAATGTGGAGAGAATGGATATAATCCTGTACATGTAATTACTAGGGTCCAGACTGTCTCCTTTCTTGTATATGGGTGTTATTTTTGCAAATTTTAATTCTTTTTGAAAATCTCAGTTGAAATATTAAACTTGATTAATGAGTGATTGATTTGTATTTGGCTGGCGGAGTTGGTTTTAGATTTTGACCAATAGTATCAATACCGGCCAACTTTTTAACATCAAGTTTGCACAGAATTGATAATAGTTCATTTTTCACAGAAAAGGGGAATTCTTAACTTATCATGTTCAAGTTTCGTTGACTTACCAGTACGTCGATTTGACCGTATTTTTTCACTGTTGAATCAATCAAACTTTTCAAGTTTTCTTCGTCTGTGATATCACAACCTTTTACAAATATCTGCAAAAGAAATAAAAATAAAATCAAGAAGAAATGATAAGTTAAGGGAAGTTCACAAGAAAGTGATTATTTTAAAAAAAAAAAGATTAATGTGTGCAATTCAGAAACAATTAGATTTGACGATATTATACAGCACTAGATAGATAATCGAATCAGGAGAATACCTTCATTATGCCACGATCACTTTTTCGTGTACATATGTACGTAGAAGAAGGAATATGTATATTATTATTATGTAGTTTCGAGATTTGTTGGAATGTCTTAGGTGAAGACTCCCCGTTCAAGAGATGCATTACGGATTTGTAATTTTGAGAATGCATTAGATGATTAGTTCATACTCATGTATACGCCTTTATAAAGCATTTATAATATATAGATCATTTGCAGGACAACAACAGGATTGTTAGAAGGTAGCATTCGATCAAGAAAATTGGTGCAGTAGGGACTTAAGTTACATTACACAGCCAGAAATGGAACTGCTGCCAAAAACAAACCCTAAAATAACCTATCATTAGGTCGTATTTTGACTGACAAAAGTTTTTTTTAATTTAAATATTTCGGATTCCCAACGTTTCGGCATGAGCATCACTGAAGAGACATAATTGTCAAAATGCGCATCTGGTGCATGAAAATTGGTACCGTATATGATTTACATTATGACCCCTGGGTCGAGGCCTCTGCTGGTGGACTTTTAGTTCCCAAGGGTCTCTACAGCCCAGTAGCTAAGTACATCGGTACTAGCTTGAAAATACAGATATATATTTAATTGCTGTGGTAAAATTTAGAAATTTATTTCAAAATTAAGGATTATCTCCCTCAAGCATAGCTATGATCCTTCAACTATTTGGCTCCAGTCTTTGGCACCCTTTTTCAGTTCTTCAGAGTCGTTTTTATTTAAATATTTCGGATTTCCAACGTTTAGGCATGAGCATCACTGATGAGACATAATTTGTCGAAATGCGCATCTGGTGCATAAAAATTTGTACCGTATATGACTTAAAATATTTCATACCACTATGTTTTTATACTAAATTTGACAACGGAATATTCCGTCTACCTGATCAATACACGGGCTCACGGCGGCGGGTGTGACCGGACAATAGGGGATGCTTACCGGTAATCCTCCTAGGCACCTGGGTCAGTGTTTTATGCCCTGTTTACAGATATGTATTGTAGGATTTTTGAGATCGATCACTATTTGTTATTTTAACCTTTTTCATGACAACTTGTCATGTTCTAAATTTTGTATTTACTCCCACCCGGTAAATTCAAAATTTAGAACATGACAATACTCCAAACAGTGTCAATTAATTCTTCCCAATTAATATACATGCCTTATCCTGTGGTAGCCCCTTTGCTGAACACTGACTGGCTACATCGTTAAGTCTCTCTACATTCCTTGCGGCCAAAACCAACTTTGCACCAGTTTTTGCAAATTCAAGAGCAGTAGCAGCTCCTATTCCTGAACTAGCACCTGTTGTATAAAAAAATGTAAAATAGTGAAATATTTGATATATCTATTGTGATAAAATTAATACGATAACTTATATAGCATGTATTTTAAATCCGTTAAGATAATATTTGAAAATATTTTTTTAACCTCCACATTGATATCAGGAAATACCTCAAAAATACTCAAACGGCGTCTCATAGAATTCGCCTCTGGATTTATACAATATGATCTCTGATAAAGGTTTAGAGTCCCACAGAGTGAAAGACTGATAGAGTTATTAAGGTTCATGGTAAAATAATTAATTTTGCAACAAGGTATATAGTGTATATCATCAATTATCATTCTTTCTGAAACTGGGATTTTCGCAGAAACAAAACAAAAGTCGAGTTCAAAATCAATAATTGAGGCGTCTCCGCATGCTTCGGTGACAAACACATAATGCAGTTTGTACAGCTATAAATATTTCTTCTAAATCAAATGTATATAAAATATACTAACCTGTAATAATCACGACTTTGTTTAAAAGGGAACTCATTTTTAAATACTTCTGAGAAGGTCTCTTACTATGGCGCGCCGTTGTGATACGAAATGAATAGATAGGGCTTAATTGACCCCTGTTTCTCTATCTTTCGACTATGAACGAAATCACTAGCTCTGGAACTGTAGGTCTCTACATAAAATTAAATTCGGTCACGCATACCAGAGAGATACCAGAGCTCTACTCATTCTGTGGTATGTTTAAGAAATAAAGTCCGCGTTATCGTGAATGTTGCAGGATAACCTCCGAGGTCGAGAAATGTTGTCTGAAATATAAAGGCCGAGGCGTTAGCCGAGGCTTTTATATTTCAGAACAACATTTCATAGTCCAAGAAATAAGCGCTCCTTAGTGATATTTGTTGAGAGCGGCCACTGTTACTGCTGCTATCTTTTCTGGGGCGGTCGATATACATGTCCAAGGTATGCCATTTTCTTTGCAATCAAGCATCATTTTTTCGCTTTGAGTTGAAGGCCTGTTTTTTAAGCCTATAAAATACCTTTCTAAGATTTGCTAACGTATACAAGGCAGATGTACCAGTGAAGGCCTACCAGGACACTTTCCATTCAGTGTTAATTTACTTCCCGATATCCTGAGCAAAGATCTGGAGTGGAGAGTAATAACTCAACTGATCCAGTGATTGATCTATTCTTGGTAGGGGATAAGTATCTTTGATTATACAGCTATTCAACTTAGGATAATAAATTCAAAAGCGGAAATCACAGTGTTTCTTTACTGTTAATACAATAATAAAATATGGAGATAACGAAGTAATCAACCTCAAAAGTCCATTGAAACAATACAAATCGGGAGCAGAGGAAACACAGACCTCTAAAAGCATAAGAAGTGGGATCAGGTGCCATAGAGGAGTAAGCATCCCCTGTCGACCGGCCACACCCGCCGTGTGCTCTTTGTCATGATCGGTAAAACGGAAAAATCCGTGTGTAAGTAATGACCTGACAATTAGTATGAAAAACTTCAGTCAGCATTCGACTTAATGATAGATTGTATTTGCTGACAAGGTCATTGTATCGACCATAGAACTTTCGAAACATTGACTTCAGAAGAGACTGTTGATATCCTTGTTTCATCAACTTGTTTGTTAATAGTTTACCTCGTTTTAAAAGCCCTTGTGTATCGAATCAACTGGGAGACATAAACTCAATATGCAGGTAATAAGGGTATATTGCTACATAAGTATATAAGGGAAGTTGACGATAGAAAAGTTGAAGTCATCACGTTTATCATAGAGTTTTGTTGTTAGGTTATATATCATTAATGTCTTTTTCTATTAAAATATCCAGATATGAAACAGATATGTCAGACTCCGTGGTATCTTTTATTTTAAGTTCATTGGAATATATCGAGTCTACATTAGAATGGTAGTAACTGTTGTTAATTGATAATACGTCGTCGATATATCTAAATGTCGAGTTGAAGGCCACAGCAAGTGTTTTCTTCTTCTCATGTACAGTATAAATTTTGGAATAAATTTTGCTTCATATGAATATAAAAAAGGTCTGCTAATAAAGGGGTGCAATAGTTACCCACGGAAATTCCGACAATTGTTGGAAGACGATCTCCAATTTTACAAAAACATTTCGATTCTTAATTAAGAAGGAATACTAGTACTCGGGCATTTAGGAAAGAGATTTCAAATGATATACGTTTAGAACAAGGGTAAGTATGTCCCTGGACTTCTAAAATGGCCAAGGGGAGAGGAAAACTGTACCGTGGCTTTATTATTCAGGCCCGTAGGAAACAATTTCAGAAGGGGGGCACAGCCATATATTTTCATACAACCATGTTATTCCTTATTGATGTTAAGTTTTTACTGCACATTATGAGAGACAATACGCTATCGTTATGTCGTATGTTAAGATGATATTCTAAGATAAATATATCCAGAATATTAGAACCATGCTGTAAGCTTCTAAGTAATCAGTATCATAAAAGGATTGCTGAGATTATTATGTTAGTTTTTCAAAATAACGACCATGTCAAAAATATTTATATTTTGATTTATATTTCTGGACACGGGGCCTTATATCCAAAATAAACGCAGTAGATGATTTGTTTGGTGTGAACTACTGAGCATTTAATTTTTACAATAGGGGGCGCCTTGTGGTTAACGATTGAATATACCAGATAACAAAAAATGGTTTTTTGTTATTTTAAGTCAGAACAAAGAACTAAGTAGGTTAGATATTAGACCAACTTGGAAACTTTCTAAGGGAAATTAGATCTGGACGTCACATGTCTCAAGAAGACGCTAATGTGGCTCCGGATAACTAGTGACAGAATCCGGGAACCGTTCCACTGTGGTAAAGGAAACGATGGCGGGGTTTTATCTATCAAACAATCAAATCACTGCTTATGGCATCAGAAACATTTATGGTGGACTGAAACCCTTGAAAATGAACTCGCCTCGTGAATCAAAGACGTTTTATCTTAGATGTAAAGAAAAAGAAGAGGAGAGGGTTGAAGCTATGCGAAAGAGAACCATGAGACACCTGTTTGACAGGAACTCTAGAGGTGAATTTGTAGTCCCGAAAGCTCCAGCTTTTAATGAAGTTAACCATGATTCAGTGAATGAAATTGTCACAAGATTAAATCGACCAAAAACTGCTACAATCTGCCATCATTCGGACAAATCGAAAATTGAGAGGGAAGAGAAGAGAGCGAAGTCAGCAAAACCAGTTACGGAGAGAGAAGTGAGTAATATTTCTACTCGTTTGCACTGTCACGAGACCTACATGAGTCGAGTGAGAAGCAGTCGAGGAGTCAGGCTACCTCCGCCGCGAAGACGCAGTGCGCTAGAACGCGCCACCAGTGCTCCAGCTCACAGAACGGACTACTCAGAGATAATCAAGAAATGGAATCTTCACCACTGAAAAAGAATTGTATTTTGTGGTAATTTAAAATTATCAAAAGTATTGGATCAATAATTTAAGTCATTACATACAAGACCAAGAAAACTTTTCCTTGAGGGATTTTGCTATCAAGGCAAAGAAGAACGTCATTTATACACGTGTTAATCTATCATTAAGACTGTTAGCAAGTGCAATTGTATTCATGTAATCAAATCTTCTGATCAACCCAAGTGTTGCGTCAGATTTAAACATTGTATGCATATTGATTTTGTTTGAGTAACTAACGTTGTACATGTATGCAAAAAGACGCAGTGATGTTTTTATAAAGGAAGTACATGTACTTCTTAAACTGTTGTTTTCGTGGATATACATTCTAAACTATTTTATTCTCATGAGCCAAAGTAAATCAAGTTTAACGCAATGTGCATGCATATAGTCTGTGCGGAAAAATATTATTTAATCCAAGTGACTTCAAGGACGGGTGTATCATTTAAATACTTTTTATGTTTGAAATGAAAGTTGTAATGTTTTCAAATACATTAATTACTGCAATAAATGAATTATTATATTATATATAAATTATTACATGTTTAATGTAACATCATTCTAGCAACTGGAAAGGAAAAACCTTTAAAGCATTTTCAATGCTACACAAATTCAAAATCAAGTGTCCATTAAAAATTTGTTCAAAGAATTGCACCGGTCACTCTTCCAGAAAGTAGACTTATACAAAGACGGAGATTTCTTCGATCATGTACATTTTTGTTGTGGTATGCAGTAAATTGGGTAACATCCAAAACCATTAGTACTTGCAAAGTCTCGTAGAGAGATTCCACGCCTTGGATAAGGCGGTCACAGAAGGCGATTCTTTTTCTTTGGTTAAGTACTAATGATCATTCTGGTCTGAACGCATTGATACTCTGTAGCTTTGGGTAGCCCTTCAGCCTATCGTTATATGTCAGTAGATATTGTATCTGATGTTAGTACTCTTGCTATTGTATACTATATCGTGTTATCGTTGTCTTTAGTCGTGTTTGAAATCTCTTAATTAATCTAGAGAACAGTATCTATTGTATCTAATGACAGGCTGTATTTAGGGTCGGTCTTGAATCTGTGAATTTGAAAGGAGGGGGTGTCAAATTTACACGAGTCTTGAATAGTGTTGAATACACAACTATAGTTTACTGATGTGTGAAATTCTTTAAACACGTTTTAATTTTTTTCTGACTTGCCATGCTAAAACAAAAACATCTAAACTTTAATTCTATGTCATTTTGTCAGCTACAGTTCTCTTGCTTGTCCCTTTAATCGTTTGTACAGTTTTAAGTGACCGCATTATAATAGATTAAATAAACAAAAGGAACGGAGTGTTTTTATTTTATGTGATTAAGAAATTTAAATCTACTTACACTAATTATGTTTTTGCACGGTTTGCATCACATCATATACAGCATAAATCAACGTTGTTCGTAACAATCGAAAGAGCTTAATTGTTGTTAGACGCCCAATGTAAAACAACTTTTCCAGGTGCTCTGTTTTGGAAAATGGCTGGTTTTTGGTTGACAAATAAGAGAATAACTGATCTAAACATACGCCACATTTATGGAGGTCCGGAGCCCTTTGGTAAACATAAAATCGCCAAAGTGACGCGCACCTTCAGTCTCAGGACGAAGGAAAAAGAGGAACAGAAGTCCGAAGCGTTGCAGAGGCGAATGAGAAGAAGGCTGTTCGATGCGAATTCTCGAGGGGAGTATGTCGTTCCACGAGCCCCGGCATTTAGAGAGCTTGACCAGGAGGGAATAGAGGAAATAGTCACAAGGTTAAACCATCCCAAAAGCGCACCAGCTCTACGCCAAAGCCTGTCCAGTAAGTCGTCAAGTGAAGAGAGTGATTGTGCGAAAAAACAGAAAACACTTTCGGAACAAGAATTAAATAATGTTTCAATTCGTTTGCACAATCACGAAACACACATGAGCCGGATGAGAAGCGGAAAGGGAGATCGATTTCCGCTTCCGTGTAGCAGGATCAATGTGAGTAGATCGAATAGTTCACGGCATTAAATGAAGGATTTTTTAATGAAGTGACAAAATAAAATGGTGATCAGGAGAACTTAAATATCAGTCTTGTGTTTCACTAGACAGTCACATGCAGCGATCAGAATGTCCCCAGTATATATTGCTGTATGACCATCAAAACATTTCCAGAGTGTCAAACTCAAAAGTGACAATGAAACTGTTTAACGTTACATGCCAGTGAAAGTATATATATGGAATATTTTGGTTAAATAAAAATTAAAATAATGACATTAAATATATTTATTTGATAAAAGATTTCAAATAATGATTTTTTCATCATCTCTTCCTTTTAGTTGGAAAAAGACAAATTATCGTCGATTCTGATCGAAATGACATTTTTTCTTTTGTGGCGTTTCTTTTATTGTTATATTTGTTTTAAAATCAACAAATGAAATGAAGATATTTAAACTACGAGAATATTGAATGTGAAATTGCACAAAATGCCTGTCTACAATATTGACCTCTGGCCTGAAAACCATAAATTGAAAATTAATAGATTTTTAAATAGAGGTCAAAATCTAGATTTTATCTATCTTAATTTTCATTTAAAAAAAAAAGTTTTAAAAAGCTGCAACTTTGATTGATTTAGAAATGCATTATGAAAATTTTGTTCCTTTTCAGAATTATTTTACGTTATACAAATCTGGAATTTTGACTTTAAAAGTCTGTTCTCAGTTTATGGTCTTGAGATCAGGTATGGGGAGATTTTGATAAAGAGTAACTCGATTAATTTCTCTATAATATTCTTGGCTTAATGTTATACTAATGTATCGATGAAACTATGCATGAAAGATCAATTGAATGTATAACGTTACCTGTTAAGGGTACAGTTAGTTAATTACAAGACCAGGAAAAATTAAAAAAAAAGTTAATTACATTGTACATGATACTTAATTTCAAGTAAAGCATTGAAAGCAGAAGAAAGCATTGATGATAACTCTCTCTCTCTCTCTCTCTAACGCGACAAGTAAGGTTACATTGACAATACAATAGATACAAATACAAAACCAGTAAACTGGTACACAGGGGTCTTGATGCATGCTTCCAAACTCAATAATCTGTAAAGAGGGTGTTGCAGAAACTCGCGATTATTCCCTATATCGAGAAGGACATTAATACCCACGACGCATGAAGAGTTATCTCTAAATATATGTAATGCTACGTAGATGACTTTATTTATACGGCGAGTATGTCCAGCTTGTTATAACAAAACATTTCACATTTTACCTTTATTTCATGCATAGTGTTTCCTATCTTGTTGATTTATCCGACTTTAAATAAAAATTATCCTATCCTATAGACTGGCGACCTGATAGTAAACTTTTTTTTCACATCTATGGTCACTATCGCCATATTGCACGCGAAAAGTTAGAACGATAAAATGCACAATTAATGGCAAATGCATCTCGCACGTCATTTTGAAAGATGTGCTGTAGACAGCATGCGTTAATATTTTTTAATATGTATACAAAAATGTGTCCAATAATCACGCTGTTGATGCAATATCCAAAAAATTCCATTGAGTCATTTCAATTTAGTTGTTTCAAGTCAAATCTGAGCAACTAATTAACAGAACAATAATGAAACGAAATGAGTATGAAAAAATTAAATTATTTAAAATGATAGTACTTTATTTTTTAAGACATCGTCACTAAATATATGTCTTATTTGATTTAGATCACAATATCAAGGAAAACAATTTAATTCTGCATGCATTTAAAATATATCTCATTAATTTTACGACATCTCCCCCTCTCTTTCTCTCTCAAGAGAGATGTTACATTGTACTTCCATTATTTAATTCAGGAAAAAAAAATATGTATATATACCAGCCATTCCAGAACCTATTCTCAGGTAAAAGAATCTTCGCAAAGAGTCCACACGCTTTACCACTAGACCAGCTCCGACACTGAAGTATCATGTGCTATTTTATGTGCACATTTTCCATTTCGGGTGGATAATAATTTTTATACGATTTTTGTGATTTTCAAAAATATGCCTCTTTGAAACAAAAATCGGAAATGGCAGTTTTGAAGAAAAATCCTGTCTCTTTTTACATATATCAAATTCATTCTGTTTCAAGGAGGCAATTTTCCAGAACAATGGGGATTCCCTATTTGAAAAACAGAAATATTGACTTATTTTGCTAAGTGGCTAATTTACACTTCATTTAATGGCAAATTGGTAGTCGATATACAGTTTCTAAATATTGTTCTACATTGTGCTGTATATACCGTTGTATCTGAAAAAAAAGACCGTTTTCTTTACTTGAAATTTTTCTTGTTACAATTGACAACTTCTGTTCTTTAATTGGTTCTAGTCATAGGTTAAGGGAGTCTATTTTCACTTTTTTTCAGAGACATTTATGTCTCTGGGTTTTTTTTTTAATGGAAAAAAATATATTCCATGTGTTAGCTACACCTACACTGACATCGCTTTACTAAATTTTAATAATATACATACGAATATAATAACGTACGGCCTAATTTTTGGGCATTGACTGGTTCCTATGGTAAATATAAACCAGTTTAGCCGGTGTACGGCCACGTGATTTTTCGGTGTCTCCGGCAACTTCCTTTTACGTAGTGAGCCACATGGTCGCGACCTTGCTTGCTATCTTCTCTTCCTTTTCGTCAGAAATGGCTGCCAACAACGAACGTTCATTTATTATGGTCAAGCCCGACGGAGTCCAAAGAGGACTTGTCGGTGAAATTATGAAGAGATTTGAACAAAGAGGCTACAAACTCGTTGCCTGTAAACAAATGCAGGTAAATTATAACTGAAAAGCATGATAATATATCCAATAATATATTAAAATATATGTCAGAAACGCTTAATTATCGCATCGTACATTCCCGGTGACTCCTTGCATATTTTCTGGAGTTGTACTCTTTGAATAAATTAAGGATTATCCCCGAGATTGTCAAAATGCCAAAATAAATTTTAAGAAACTTAAACAGTGCATATATATTTTAAATATATCTATCAGGTTGGTTAATTTTACAATGCAAGAAGTTGGTAAATATACAAGAACACCGAGTGTTAATTACCGTAGTATCCGAAAGCCTAACCTTAAATAGATTTGACTTGAAGAGACTTGCATTTTATTAAATTGTGTGTCTTTCTAGATAAAATTGAGTTTGTATTCTTGTCACCATAAGAAAATATTTAGAGAGATTCCCTATTTTTAAAATAATTACAGTCTCTAGATTTTGAATCTCGGTAGGTAAGGATCCCTAGATAGACACGGTTTAATGATATGAGGTGAGGGCTTGTCTCTGAGAAACAGTTAAATTATTGATATTCTATCTAAGGCATTCCATGATGATATTGTTGATGGAAATTAAAACATAGGTAATCAAAGATTACTAAGCTCACCTCGACGAATGTTATCTATAAGTAAGGTAAATCTCACATCATATTTTTTTCCTAGTTAGTGTACATTCCAAGATTAATATCCATCAATATTAGATTCAGAATCCAAAGTAAGTCTGGAACTGTCCATCTCTAGATACATCATCATTCATGCTAATTTGGTTAAAATATGGCTAAAATTCACTCATGTGGAAAATCTAGGTCAGATCCAGAATCCAAAGCAGGTTAGTTAGTGTACATCCCTAGATGCATCATCCATGCAAGTTTGGTCCAGGTAGGGCTTATATTTACTTGGGAATGGACCTGCTCCAAAAAAACTTTAACCTGATCAATCATCTGGAAAATCTAGGTCAGATCCAGCATCTGAAGCAAATATGGTAGTGTCTATCCCTAGATGTATCATCCATGCAAATTTGGTCCAGGTAGGGCTTTTAGTTACTTGGGAATGGACCTGTTCCAAAAACTTTAACCTGGTCACTCATCTGGAAAATCTAGGTCAGATCCAGCATCCCAAGCAAGTGTGGTAGCGTCCATCCCTAGATGCATTATCCACGAAAGTTTGGTCAAGGTAAGGCTTAAATAATCACTTGGGAATAGACCTGCTCCCAAACCTTTAATCTAGTCACTCATCTGGAAAATTTAGGTCAGATCCAGCATCTGAAGCAAGTATGGTAGAGTCCTTCCTTTGATGCATCATCCATGCAGGTTTGGTCCAGGTAGGGCTTATAATTGGGTACCTGCTCCAAAAACTTTAACCTAGTCACTCATCTGGAAAATCTAGGTCAGATCCAGCATCTGAAGCAAGTGTGGTAGTGTCCATCCCCAGATGCATCATCCATGCAAGTTTGGTCAAGGTAGGGCTAATAGTTTCTTGGGAATGGACCTGCTCCAAAAACTTTAACCTAGTGACCCATCTGGAAAATCTAGGTCAGATCCAGCATCCGAAGCAAGTGTTGTAGTGTCCATCCCTAGATGCATCATCCATGCAAGTTTGGTCCAGGTAGGGCTTATAATTCCTTGGGAATGGACCTGCTCCAAAAACTTTAACCTGGTCAATCATCTGGAAAATCTAGGTCATATCCAGCATCCGAAGCAAGTGTGGTAGTGTCCATCCCTAGATGCATCATCCATGCAAGTTTGGTCAAGGTAGGGCTTACAGTTACTTGGGAATGGGACTTGCTCCTAAAACTTTAACCGGGACACCGAAGCCGACGCCAACGCCGGGGGTATAGCATAAGCTCATCTCGACTTCGTCGAGGTGAGCTAAAAATGAGTTTTTTAGTAAGTTTATTCTACATTGAGGTTAGTTAGAATAATCTAACTGTGTCTCGGCACAAGCCCTCACCACAGTTAGAATATGTCCCATATACTTGCTATGTACAAATCGGAGCGGATCACTGAAAATAACCACCAAATTAATCATAACAAACCTTTTTGAGATTCCATATGCCTTTTAACCTAAAAAATAATCCATATAAATATGAAAATTCAACTCATTTTCTCAACGTTTTTTCCTCGCTTCAAATTTAACGCCATGTTGACATTCAGAACTCTCTGGATTGTTCATAGTAAATGCACAGAGTTTGAGTTATCGCCCATGTTTATTTTGCTACATTGCCAATACATGGAGCTAATTCTATCGTTAAACCGAGTCTGTAGGACAATATCATATTAACAATGAACGTTCTATCTACATTGAGGTATAACATTATTAAAATGCGTAAATCATAATGGGTAGTTTTTAAAACTTGGGGATGTAGTAGATTTGATAAATATTCTGATGGAATAGTGACAGAACTTTTACATTTAGCTTTGAACCATGAACCTTTATTTCCCAGGGTGACTGACAGGTATAGTCATACATATGAACTGTTGATTATAAATGCTATACAATGATACATTGAATGAATTTATATTTTAGGCATCAAAGGAGCATTTAGAGAAACACTACGCAGATCTGTCTAGTAAGGGATTCTTCAAAGGCTTGGTCACCTACATGGCCAGTGGACCAGTTGTAGCCATGGCAAGTCTAATTTATTTAATCAGGCAATATTGAAGAAAAATAATTTGTTGTATTACCATTAGTGAATAAAGTTTGAAATAAAAAAAAAATTACTTCTTATTTGGAGCATGTTTTTTAAAATATATTTAGGGATCTTGAATTTAAATTATAAGTAATTATAAAAAACCTTAAATGGTACAGAAATAATTTACAGGTATGGGAAGGAAAAGATGTAGTTAAGACAGGCAGAAAAATGCTTGGAGCAACTAATCCCTTGGAATCCAATCCAGGAACAATCAGGGGAGACTACTGTATTGATGTTGGCAGGTCAGTGTAACAGGAAATCAGAAATAAGCTACTACACAACTTAACCTAAGTAGCAGGACAGTGACTTCAGTTCTTGATAGTGCATATACAATGATTATGCCTTTTTTCCATTATGCTCACAAATACTTGACAACTTCATTTTATCAAGCTTTGAAGATAGTTTTCATGGCAGATAATTACGTGCATCAGTACAAGATTACATGCATTGATTTTCTGTGTTTCAGGAATATATGTCACGGTAGTGATTCTGTAGAAAGTGCCAAGCGAGAAATTGATCTGTGGTTCAAACCTGACGAGATTATGAACTATTCTGCCTGTGAGGCTCCCTGGGTTTATGAATGACTGACCATGTCCTTGTTGTAGTTGGAGTCATGTGGACCATGACTCAAGGTTGTGTAGTCTCAATAAATCTTAATAATTCTTATGTGTTCAGTGTATTGAAGATTCCAAGTGCAATTCCTGTATGTTTACAAAACTTGTGTATTACATAGAGAGAGATATTATATAAATATTGCATGTAGTTGAGTGTAACATTGAAAATTTTCACCCCAAGAAAACCATTGTCAACCGAGGCGCAGCCGTGGTTGACAATGGTTTTCGAGGGGTGAAAATTTTCAATGTTACACTCAACTACATGCAATATTTATTATATTATACTGAATGTTTTATATAAATACATATAACAGTGAACCTTGCGCGCATGAATTCTGCGCAGTCGCTATTTTTTGGAAAAACACCCGTCGTCAAGCAATGTTAACTGTTGCTACGCTGGTGGGCGTGGCTTCATTATTCAGCGGGTAATAGTGTTTTTTAACAAATGTTTCTCGACGAATCAGATTCAACTAATTTACATGAAAGTATAATATATATATATATATATATATATATATATATATATATATATATATATATATATATATCTATATATATATATATCTATATATATATATATATCTATATATATATATATATCTATATATATATATATATATATATATATATAAAATGTTTCATAAATTGCTCTAAATGGTAAATAATTAATTTTAGCATCAAGTCTAATTAAAAGGATGACAGAACACATGTAATTCATGTGATTCTCATAAGTTCACTTTTCTTTTTTGGGTAAATTTGTTTGATCTAGACCACAAAAAGTAATGTAGGAATGTGAGTTTTTATATAAACTGAAAGTAATCGCTAGGAATCAAACATTAACATACAAACGACTGGGCTTAACTGAATTCTAGATACACCTACAAAATCTGTGACCTCATGTCCTCAGTGTAAACCTTTCAAAGTGGGCTTGTACTTGCATGAAGAAAACTGCAAACATTGTTATTTTCTTTTGACTGAATTTCATTTCTGGAATTTTTTAAAAATACTGTATTCAACTTTACATTTCCAACATTTTGTTTTCATTTCCGACATTTTTAAAGTTTTCCTCTCCGACATTTATCATAGAGTACTTTTCAATGAAGACTTCCCTAATAAAAGTAAATCAAGAATAAATCATTGATATCCAAGATAAATTCGCTACAGTTGCTGACCTATAATTCAGTGGACATTAAATTTGGTGAATAATTTAAGTCGTGCAAAACTTTTAACTATAGACTTTGTGTTGCATTTATAATTATACAGTGTTTCATATTTGATTCTGTGCTTTGACAAATCAACCTTTACCAAATTGGAAATAAACAGCAATACTTTGTTTTATTTTATAATTGAACAGAATTGGCACTGAGCAAATTGTGGGGTAAAATGAAATGCTTTTCAATGAAATCCACTTGAGAAACACGGATTTCCATCACTTCTCACGAGAAAGGAGATGGGCGAACATAGCGTGCAGAAAGCCTATAGCTTCAGAAATATAAAAATAATGTTCAGTTTGTGAATTTAATATTTAGAGTAAAGTTCTCATTATTGAAATTTATGAAATTGTGATAAACAAAACTTTTCTGAGGAAAATTTTCTCGGCAAAATTTATTCTTTTATTAAAAAAATGGTATTCGTGGGGTTCGAACCCTAGCAATAAAAATCCTGAGTATCATTTTCTTTCGAGACTAGCACGCTAACCACTAGACTACACAAGTCCTGACGAACAGTGGCATTTAAATCATGTTTGTGATATGACCCTTGATTTAATGGACTTCAAGTATTTCTCGAAAAGATGCGAATGTTATGTCATAAAAGTATATTTTTAAGGTATAGTGGGTCATTGCTCCATATTTTTGGTAACCAAAAAATGTATATTTGTATGCAAACTTTGAGGATTAACTTTCAAAAAGGTGGAGCGAAGACCCACTCATATCGAAAAATAGTGTTATAGTATGCGAAAATGACTCTTTTTGCCCGCTTTATTGTGTGTCTAATATTTCACAGGCAAATATTTTCGATCTTTGAGGGATTTTTGCAAATTGTAGAGATTTTACATAAAGTATATTTTAATGTTAGACGAAATATCAAGGAAAATTTTGATATAATTGAAATTTAATTTTTCATCTTCATGTTTGTCACACTATAGGCTTATCGTTCGTCATGTTCACCCATCTCCTTTATTGCTCGTCATTCACACTTCTGCTTTGTCCATAAAATAAAGAAAAAAATGATATTTAAAACACAAGTTCGAAACTTGTGCTCTGGTACATTATGATAAGAAATACATTTTTAAAGCAATTCAATCTAATTAAAATTAGATGTCCCGAATCCGCTATCGCTTCTCAAGCGATAGCGGATTCGGAACATCTAATTTTAATTAGATTGAAAGCAATTAGTCATTTGAATATACACATACTGGACATTTTAAGACTGTATGCGTTTATTTAATGAAAGAACTTCACGAACAAAATCATGCTTGTCCACAAAATCCACGGTGCAAATATTGATACCAACATGACTAGGAACTTTCTTTTTTAACCAACCCAAAAACGCAGGAGTTGCCCGCGGAACAAGTTTACTCTCGAGGGAGGAACACAAGTTTGCCATGATTGTCTTTGCCGATGGTGTCAGTATCCCCTGCCATACGTACAATTCACCCGCTCCTCTCCTTACGTTTTGGTTATAGTTACGTTCGTGAAAGTTCACAAGGGCCAAAGAATTGGCGGTGTTGGCCCATGGAGACTGGATATATTCTTCAGACCAAAAGAAAGGAAATTCATTTCGAGATGGGTGATCATAAAACACCATTATTCTTGCTGGAGTTTTCCATATGTTTTCCAATGTCATTTTCCATGCCGACATTGAAGTATCCCCACTGAGGATCTTGGCACCAAATGTTCCAATGATAAGATGCAAAACCTGTCTATGGTCAACGGAAGTCATGTTGTAAAAATGGTTAAAGTCCAGAATAACAAACTCTTTTGGATTCTCGTTCAGAAATTCTTTGATTTCCATGAGAATATCTACAAGTTTGTGACCATAGAGGCCATGAGCAACATATACATCGGGGCTTCCGGGACGTCCACACAGACGTAGATCAAGGTAGCGAATTCCGTGTTCTAATTGTCCTTTTACTGTCAGTTTTTGTGTCAGAGACCATCGATGGACAATTGGGACAACACAACAGCAGCTGTTGGCCATGCTCCGGAGTATCGACGGTTCGTCCTCAGCGATTCCACCAGCCTTGTCTAGCCAGTATGCGCCCGAGTCATGAGACCCTGAAAAGAAATCGGAAATTCTGGGGTTCTGCAGTAGGCCAGTAGAAAATATCTAGCTGAAAAAATATCTTGTGTGTGTGTGTGTGTGTGAGGGTGTGTGTGTAAGGGTGGGTGGGTGTGTGTGTGTGTACGTGTGAAGAGAGGTGAAATAAAATCTGTAGTTGCATTTAGCAGAATAGGTATTATACAAATAATTTGAAGAAATTAAAGACATTTGAAAACAAAAGTGAAGTGTTCATTTTTTCCCTCTCTAACCACTTTCGAAAACGGGTAAACCGTAGAAAGTCAGTAATTCATTAATATTGTACATATGTACAAAGATACCCACTCCAGACACCATTGGAAATTGAATTGTGTGTCTCCTAGCAGTGCAAGAAACCCTTTTGAAAGTTGTTGAGGACGGGGACGCAAGGTTACCGCTGCCCCCCCCCCCCCCGGCCTTAAATTAAACTGAAACATTACTTAATATGTAGTTAGCTTTGTTACAATTAATATCAATAGAAAAGATCTGTAAATAATAAATTATAGTAATTAAAACTTGTACATATAACAGCTTATAATGTAAAGCCAATGTTGTGAACTAGAGTTATTTCCCTTCCAATCTTACCTGGTATTGCTAAAGAACACATAGGTACACGCGTTAGTTCTGGGGATAGGTCACCCATCCATGTTGTGTAGGAATCTTCCGCTGTCATTTTCCCACACAGGGTTTATGGTTGACAGTTATTTGCGGGGGTAGACACTAGACCAGTTTGATATACAGCACGTATGTTCTTTGATAAAATAACACGTGACTTCTTTTTTAAACATTTAAATTGATTACGTGCGGTCCGGTGGGACTAGGGTGCATCACTATTTTTAGTCACATTCTATATGCAGTTCTGTTTCTGTTCAAAATGTCAACTGCTTATTTAGAATGATACTAACCTCTCGATAAATCCAATCTAATTAAAATTAGATGTTCCGAATCCGCTATCGCTTCTCAAACGATAGCGGATTCGGGACATCTAATTTTAATTAGATTGCGATAAATCAGGAAGTTTGAGAATAAGATTGTTTATAAAATACACACCAATCCAACACTGGTGAAACACTACTCCCACACAAGAAAAACGCATAAAAACATTAATGTTTTGAACAATTTATTGCAATGTTTTAAAATGATTCTAGAAACACAATTACAGTCAAACCTGTTTTAAGAGACTAACTTCGTGAAGATTTGAATGTGGCTACTTATATACAAGACAGGTGGCCTCTTATTCAAGTTTGCCCTCGAAATAACCAGTCAATCTGTATACGAACAAAATTATCACTAGGGCCTAAGTTATTTTTTTTTAATCGGAGAATAAAATAAGGTGATTTTTACTAACTTTTTATACTTATGAATACTATTTCATTTGCATGTATTATAGAAGCCAAAATTTTAATTTTTCTTAAAGAATTCCAAAATGGTTTAGCACTTGTCTCTGTTATACATATTATTTAAAAGACACATACATATACATTCACCACAGAGGTGTCCAAGCAATAATTTGCACATAGTTTGGTATCCCACCCACCCCAACTCAACAGTCCTGTATTAATTCCACGTAAAGTTGGCAGTATACCTGTAAAGTTATTGACAGTGACGTAGCTACTATGTATTCTTACGCTGCTTACACAAGCATCCACTTTTTTCAACACCTAAAACAAAATCGCCCTGGAAATCTGTAGCTCTGTTGTACTGTTAATAACTGTGTAAAGCTTAAGGTGCAATACCACGCCAGAATTTCATTAAATAAATCTATAATACATCCCTTTTAAACTATGGTTTCAACATTGAAAGACCGATATTAGCTCTTAATTATTTTATATGGATTTTTTTCCTTTTTTTGCATTTTTTCAGAGAAAATGAAAAAAAAATGATTTATTTGCAAATAAAATGTTTATTGGTTTAAAATTTGTTGTTAATAAATGCATAATATAAATGTCTAATAAAATATGTAAATAAAGGCTGGATATACATTTTAATTTTTTTAATTTAAAAAATATTTATGAAAATAAAAACACATTATTTGTAATTATTTTTTAAACCTATGGATAAAATCTTCATAAAACTAGTCACAACTAGGGAGAACATGTTAGTCAATCATATTTTATATAGAAATTGAAATGAAATTGCGAAATTTCAAGGAAAATAATTATTTTAATATTTGGACCAATCCCGATCAAAATTAAAACAAAATAAAATAAAATGATAAATTTTTGCCTTCTTTATGTATTTACCACTAAGAAATCTATTGAAGTTCAATTACTTTTTAACCTGTATTACACCTAAATAAATAAGTATCCTTACGAAAATGTCATCTATTTCTATTTTCTAATTATTATAAATTCCTGGTTGGGATCAGTTTAATTTTGATCGGGATTGGTCCAAAATTAAAAAAAAAATAATTTTTCTAAAATTTTGCAATTTCATTTCAATTTCTTTTTAAAATATGATTGTCTAACATATCCTTTGTATATGTGACTTGATTGTTTTTTAATATATCATCCATAGGTTTTGAAAATATTCACAAATAATGTGTTTTATTTTCATAAATAATTTTTTAGTAAAAAAAATTAAAATGTCTATCTAGCTTTTCTTTATATATTTTATTAGATATTCATATTATGAATTTATTTAGAGCATATTTTTAACTCTAAAGCATCTTATTTGCAAATATTTTTTTCTTCATTTTCTATGAAAAATTGGGGGAAAAATTCTTATATAAAATAATTAAGAGCTAATATCGGCCTTTCAATGCTAACACCGTAACTTAACAGGGATGTCTTAGAGATCTATGAAATAAAATTTTGGTGTGGCATTCCTCCTTAAAAGTCTACTGTCCATCGCATCCTATTGTGATAATTTTCAAAAATACAAGTATGACACTGTTGAAATACTACATAAGAAAGTAAACAAAAAATTCAAAGAATTGTGCCCCCTCCCGCTTTCGGTATCTTAATGGATGGAATGTCTTGTTTGTGTGTCCTGTCCTGTCTGTGCATAAGACATAAATTATTGAATTAATAACAGTTATGGCAAAGATTATAGCTTCTCAAAACTACATCAAACTTCAAGATGAAGGTCATGAGGTAATATTTAAGGAATGAATTTAATAGCTACCCATTTTATACGGTATAAACTGGGTTGGGGCAGTTTACGCTTTATTAACCGCGAAGCTTTCATTCATTTGGTGTAAGAAAAAAAGATGATTGTCCTAAAAAAATGACTTCAATTTGTACAAAATTTGAATGTAACGTCAGGCGGATCGATACGTTTTTGACGCAAGTCATTGTGACGTAGGCAACCCATTTATACGATATAAAGTAAATTTTTTATCCAATCAAATACAGCGTTACAACCAGAATTAAATTATATCATAATACAATCCGAAAGTTCTTGCCACAAGTAATGCATATGTGAAAAAATTATGAAAGTCTTGTCTCTTCTGGAGCATCAAGGTTATGTTCAAGGTTAAAATTTTTCATAAGTAGGTCAATGAAGTCAAAAATGATATACTTTTCTGAAAGGTGTTGTCATAAGTAATGTACATGTAGAAATATGAAAGCCCTGTCTTCTCTGATTCAAAAGTTATTACAAATGTAAAACAAGATGTGTTTGTGAAACACTGATGTCCCCGTATGGCAGCTTATGGGGAATGTTAAAGTTTCTCAAATGCAAGTCAAAATCCAGGTCAAAAGATAAAAAATGTTTGTACCCAAAGAAAGGACTTGTCTCGAGGAATATACCTGTGAAATTTGAAAGCCTTAGCTGCAACTGTTCAAAAGTTATAGCGAAGGTTAAAGTTTTTTAAAAGTAATTAAAAGGTCAAGGTCAAAGTTGTTGGTATCCAAAGGAAGGTCTTGTCACAAGAATTACATATGTGAAGTATGAAAGCCCTAGCACCAACCATTCAAAAGTTATGGCCAAGGTTAAAGTGTTTCGAAAGTAGGTCAAACTCCTATGTCAAAGTCAAAGGGTCAAAAGTGGTTGGTATCCAAAGGAAGTTCTTGTCACGAGGATTACATATGTGAAATATGAAAGCCCTAGCTCCAACCATTCAAAAGTTATGGCCAAGGTTAAAGTTTTTCAAAAGTAGGTCGAACTCCTATGTCAAGGTCAAAGGGTCAAAGTGGTTGGTATCCGAAAGAAGGTGATGTCACAAGGATTACATATTTGAAGTATGAAAGCCCTAGCATCAACCATTCAAAAGTTATGGCCAAGGTTAAAGTTTTTCAAAAGTAGATCAAATTCCTAGGTCAAGGTCAAAAGGTCAAAGTGGTTGTTATCCAAAGGAAGTTCTTGTCACGAGGATTACATATGTGAAGCATGAAAGACCTAGCTCCAACCGTTCAAACGTTATGGCCAATGTTAAAGTTTTTCAAAAGTAGGTCAAACTCCTAGGTCAAGTTCAAAGAGGTTGATATCTAGAAGAAGGTCTTGTCACAAGGAATACACATGTGAAGTTTGAAACCCCAAGCACCAACTGTTCAAAAGTTATGGCCAAGGTTAAAGTCAAAACTGGGTCAAACTCAAGGTCAAGGTCAAAAGGTCAAATATGATGGTACCCAAAGAAAGGTCTTGTCACAAGGAATGCACATGTGAAATATGAAAGTCATAGATCCAACCAATCAAAAGTTATGGGCAAGGTTAAAGTTGACAACAGATAGACAGACACACAGACAGACAAACAGACAGACAGGACAAAAACAATATACCCCCGGGATCTTTCAATCCAGGGGCATAATTAATTTGAATAAGACTGTAGGTTAAACTTACAGGTCAAGGTCATGAGGTCAAAAACCAGAGAATACAATAGTTAAGGTCTTGAAACAGGAAATGCACATGTCATGTATAAATGCCTTAATCTTCTCTCAATCAAAAGTTATCAGCAACGTTAATGGGTTTTTTTTGAAAATTACCTCAAACTATAAAGTCAAGATCATGGGGTTAAACATTATAGTGCACTCGGAAATGCTTGTAACAGGCAATGCATGTGTCAAATACAAAAGCTCTATCTTCGCTTCTTCAAAAGTGGGAACACTGATAAATGTTTGAAAATTAGGCCAAATTTGAATGTCAAGGTCACAGAGTCAATTGTCATATATATAGCACATTCGGAAACATTTTTACACTGTAATGCACTTGTCAAATATGAACGCCCTATCATATCTCATTCAAAAGAAACCACCAAAGTTAAAATTTTTGAAAATTAGATCAAACATGAAGGTCAAGGTAAAAAATCATAGCATGCTCGGAAACGTCAAAGGTAATTCACATGTCAAATATAAAAGCCCCATCGTTTCTCAAATCAAAAGTTATAAGCAAAGCTAAAATTTTTGAAAAGTAGATCAAACTTCAAGGTCACGGGGTCTAAAATCATAGAATATTTCGAAAGGATTTGTCACAAGTAATGTACACGAGCAATATAAAAGCCCTATCTCTTCTCATTCAAAAGTTATGACCAATTTAAAGTAATGTTATCGTTTTTGAAAAGTAGGTCAAATTTCAAGGTCAAGTTCATGGGGTCAAAATCCATATTATATTTGGAAAGGTCTTGTCACAGGTAATATACATGTGCAATATGAAGGCCCTATCTCTTCTCATTCAAAAGTAATGACCAATTAAAGTAAGGTTAAAAGTTTTGAATAGTATGTCAAACTTCAAAGTTAAGGTCACGGGGTCAAAAATCATAGTATACTTGGAAAGGTCCTGTCAC